GAAATGCAATATAATTAATTGATAATTAATAAGCCTATTAATTAAGATATTAAAACTGTTTCAGGCCTGTGTTATCAAGAGATCAGAGCAATCGTGTTTCCTATCAATAAACTATTCAATATGTTATTTTAAATGACTGAATCTTGCTCTTTATCTCTACTATTCATTGAGATGTCATCGTAAGATATCTGACACTATGTCTGTCCATAGAAATATAAAAGTAACAATTTTTAGGGGGATCAAGACCATCTCTATTTGTGTGGTAAAATATGGAAGGATAAGCTCAACTGTCAAGCAAACAATGGGTAGTAATGTTAACACCAGTGGTATGGGGTTAGTATATAAAACAAGCCAGTATGACATGTTATGTTGGTAGTCATATGTATCTGATACATGCTGACAAGTGATCAGTTTGACTAGGACACATGTCACCACAATATATTTTTATAAGTAATCTAATAAGATATTTGATACATATCAAAAGCTAGAGGGAAGAGAAATCACAAATTAAATTTCGTTGTAAAGGATTGCTTATGTTGAATTATATCCCTATAACCATCCTTTCCAATTTCAATACCATTACGCTATTGCAATCTTTTAATAAGCAAAGAACATTCTACATATTTTAATTTCAAAGATGGCATCTATCATAGGCCTATATTTTTCACATAAAAATATTTATTTCTACAATTCGACATCAGTAATTCCTGAAATTCATAAAAAAAAAATTGCTTTTCTATGTTCCGGAATTACAGGAAAAATTCCAGTTAGCAGCTATATATACACACACAAATGCTACAAAGGATAGAACCGTAACTGATGAATGTAAGTCTATGATCGAAGGGACATAACTCATACAAATTCGATAAATCGATAATATAAATAACTATAATGTAGTTAATGATTTGATGGCTTTGTTATCATGTCCCAACGATAACAGACCGACTTAGAATTTGAAAGTTTAATGTAACAGTGTAATATATGGAGATTAAATCTGTTCTATTTTACCCCACCGGGAGTAAGAAAATGTCCATACCGCATGCCACATTTCTAACTAGATTTACCCCTTTAACTGTCAAGACTACAAATTGTCTCGATTTACCACACACTAACAATCTATCCTTATTAAAACGGTAACAGTAGCAGTTCTTTTGTTTCCTTTAAAAATAACTCTTAAAAGAAACTCTTGATTTACTCGGTCAATTTCTAAATCTATTCAAACATCACATTGGTACAAGTTTCCTACCACATCGTATCAATTCCTCTCTCTCTATTTCAATCAAAACCTGTTTTCTTTCAAAGCAAAACAACAAGGCTCGAACGTGGTTTGTTGACAACATTTATGAAAACTAAGCTAGGTAGTTACTAAATCACGACTTAGGTGTCAAAAGATTTGAAAGACTGTGTTCAGCTTCGTGATACCTACAGGTCAAGTGATATGTGCCTTGAATTTCAATGAGCGATGCGTCGCAATTAGCACAATACTGGTACCTACAAGAAACCATACTTCACGACAGGCCTTTGTGTACGTTTAGAGCGCGTCTTTTCACGTAGATATATTCGACTTGTCAACGGTGATTTCTCTCTTTAGTTTTATTGACACAGGTGTCATTTATATGTTGGTCGGGGGAGGACGAGATCGCCCAGTCCGACCCCACGTGCCCTCTAGTAATTAAGGATACAGTAAAAGGTGTTACGGTGATATTTTTAGTATAGTCTGAAAACTCAAGACTAGTATGAATCAATCGTACTAACAGACTTGTGGTAGGAACCGAGGGCCGAAGATCGCCACCATTGGCCGCGGGTGTTTAGTAGACGTTAGCCTTCTGTCGCAGTCAGCTGATGTTATTTTAAGATCGGGATTCCGGGTATGGGGGAGGGGGTGGTTAAGCTTAAATTATGCCTATTCCAGTTCATGATTTTACTGGCCTTTCAAGCAAAAGCTTGCAGTTTTTCAAGACCATCTATGCACTTAATATTTAAAAAAATGCTTTTTAGTCTGGCCGCGACAGTCCGTAATTTGGTTTGGGTTTCAAACTTTCAACGGATCACCGGAAGTAAGAATAGAAATGTTCAAAATGCAAAGTTTACAAATATTTGTTCGATTGATTGATAGGGAGAACAAAAAATGAATGAATTTTTAGGAATTTTCTTAAATACAGTCAAGAAAACAATGGAGCTTGTGATACCTTGAAGGTAAAAGACAATTAAGATAACACGTTTAAAAGTGAGCAAGCTGGGCTCGTTACATACCTACAATGTTTTTGTAAGAGTTGGCCAACATACAAACAATTTGGAGAGTTGACACAGGGGATATGTTCAAATTAAATGAAGACGATGATAGCAGTATTAACGGATATGATTGTTGTTTAATTTTAGTTCGCTTACAAAGGGGCTTTTATTTCTTTCGTTTTCTTGTGTACCTGCAACTCGTGAGAGCCAATGTGTCATGTCGGAAAGTCTATGGTGGAATGTTCTTGGCGTTCATTGTCAATCTGCCCAGGAATTCTAATATTCTTTCCGTGGGTTCACACCAACGGATATATTTCTTTTTTCTTACATACAGTGGTGTTTATTAAAATCTTATGGTGTTGAGGCCAAGGGGGGCTAAAAGGCAGTTCTTTCCCTGTGCATAATGAGAAAATATGAGAGCTTGGTGTCCATGGATTAATAATATTGCCGACAGTTCATCCAGTAGACCTACGTTTTATAAAGTTGTAGACGAACTGAAATTCATAATAATTCATAATTAAATTCAATGCACATTACATTTTGTCTAAGTCAATTGTAAAAGAGACCAACAGCTTTTAGAGCAGCAATTTACACGACTATTTCACTTTAAGGTATCAAATATCCCGGGAACTTTACATGTAATTTATTGAAGAGAAAAATTGACTTGCTAGGTTACAGGATCCATAAACAGATTTTGTTTTAGTATAAAAATGTGGCAGAACCTAACTATAACTCAAAACCGATAAAAAAAACTCAAGTTACTGGGTGACTTATTGGGTTTTGCCATTGGGGGCAATGTATAGTAGTAATGTAGACAACGGGCAATGTCTTATTTTCCAAATCTAATATACAATACAAAATGTATGGCAAAGCGTATTACTCGAACACATCTTGCACCTGACAGGGTCCACTGGATTTAAACAACTTAACCTCTCTAAAGTTTCAAGGAAGAGAAGTTTTCTGGCAAAGGGGTGCAACTCATATCTACAAACGTGGTCATATCAGCAGACGACCATTGAGCTAGACTATATATTTGATTATTTATTATAGTATTCTGCTGTCTATCAATTAATGATATTATCCCCGGAATTAATAAAGTGCAAATTATCACCGGGAACAGACAACAAGGGATCTAAATAATTTATAAAATCTCGCAAGAACAAAGGGTTGCGGTCACTAGAGGGTTGTAATTTTGGGTATATGTAAAATGTTTCTTGCTTCCGGTAAAATTATGTTATGATGAAGAATTTGATATTAATTTTGTTATAAAGTTCTTCTGCTAGATCTTCTAAATTTCGCATTATTTTATGCTTGCCTCTAAATAGCTTTTGGCATCATGAAATTAGGTACGAAGATCACCTAATGTGATCAATTGGTCAAAATAAAGTATTTAATCGGACGGAAAATAAACTTGATAAGCTATTCATTTTCTAAAGATAGTATAGGTCTATGACTTTACGTTCCCGTAATGTCCAAGTCAACATAGTTAAACGATTTGACGCTTGACAATATTTAGTGACGTATTGAGACCATACAGGCGACACAGTAGTTTCTGATTTTAATCAATGTCTACCAAAACCTTTGTTATTTTATCCCGGTAATAATTCAAAGATTTATGTATCGTTGACTCTGTCAATGGTTGTTTAATTGCTTGTAATTCAAGGATAACTTTAACTCGTGTCATATCACTACGCCTTGGGTTATTCTAAACTCATATTGTGCTTTTGTTCAGAATGAATGGTCAGAAATTGGTGACCATGCTAAGTAAAGAAACCCAAGGTGAAATCCCTGACTACTGTAAACTGAAATAATTTTCAGTAAGCTTATAGCTATTTTTTCTTTCAGTATGATTTTTGTGAAATTTCGCCTCCAAATTCCCAACCACCTACACATACGATTTGAAATAACATTAGCAAAATTAATTTAGCTTGTGAAAGGGATATCATCAGCCATTTGTTTTTAACTGAACTTTATTCACTCTGGTTATTTCTCAGTTTCAGTTTGATCCAAGGGGAAAAACTCTATTTACGCGACCGGGTTAACATGAACGAATTTTGTCATAGTGGCCAACAGGACGTGATTGATACTGATGTTGGCTTTTTATGTTATAATATATTTTTAAAAAGAAAGAACAACATAGGCTTGCACCTTCATCATCATAAAGCGGCGTCTTTTCAGAATCTCTAACAAGAGAATTACAATCATTTTCAAAGTTTATATCTTGTCTCCCTATGTGTTTAGAAACTGTGTTTAGAAACATTGGAAACTGTTGAGGGGGAGGGGGGGGGGATGATTGGTAGGGGCATAGAGTTATATAATAAGCTCTATCTATAACTATGTGATGGGGGGGCTATCTCGCGAATTAATCGAAAGGAAATTGGCGAAGTACGCAGTTGAGTTGAATTCTACCTGAATAACACTGATTGATGATAGTGGTTAATCGACATTCAAAACCTTTTACAAAAATGTTAAACATTTGATGCTATCCAGGTCCATAGACCTTGAAAAACAATAGGCCCTACTGATTAAACACACAAGGTTTCGTTGTCTACTATGGCCTCTGTATTTGTTCATTCTTTTTTTTATATTTACCTTTATACTTCTCCTCTGGAAGTCATTCTATAAAGTTTTCATCACAAAAGAAAAGTATTAAAATTGATTAACTTGGAGACTTGGAGCTTTGTCCGTTTTTGTTAGTTGTTGTACATTACGGTATTTAGACAAACCTGTAAACTGAAAGTAGATTATAACATCAACATCCGGTCGAGACAAAACAAGACTCAACAAACATAAAACCATCATCATTGGACCAATATTATCACACTGAAAAGGTTTCTTGACATTGACTGCATGAAATCTGTTCTGTTAAGGAATAGATATCCTAATCCAAACATCAGACTCGTGATAAATACTAACCGGCGGACCACGCACCTGTTAAATTCGTCTGACGTCTCCACTGCATTGGCATTGGGCGGATTGGCTGCAGGATTTCCATATGAAATAAAAGTTTGTTATTGAAACAACTTATTTTCTAAAAGAAAAACGACGACAAGAACTGAACAAAAAGAAATATTTTGTTTCGCAGCCATGTCAGTATTATCAGAATTAAAGGAGCTAGTAAACTGTATGATTGTTGATGAATCTACTGTATCCTGTAATGGCACTGTTTATAAATTAGAAGAGAAGAAATTAGATTATCATGACAAATTATTCTGGATCTATTTAGCTATCTATTCTACACTGGTTATCATAGCAGGTATAACTGGTTTCATATAGGTCATACAATAATATGAAATTAAAACAGAAAAACTGATGTATAACAATTATGTGATGTGACATACTGTAAATTGAATTGTTAGTTATGCCTTAATAAGGTCTTACCTCAAAGAGACCTCACGCTAAACTTTTTATGTTTATTGAGTAGCATCAATTTGCACCATTTCAATTTTGAGTCTGACGTTTTTACTAAGCATTATATGATGTCACTTTTGGGCCTTTGCGATAGTGATGTCATAGTGGAACTACAGATATATAAAAAAATCATTTTGTGATTTTTAGGATATATTGCTGTACCCTGGTTATTATAATATTTATTTCAGGTTTAATGTCTGGTTTAACTATGGGTTTATTATCACTTGATATGATGACCTTGAAGATCTTAAAGGAAAGTGGAAGTAGAAAAGAACAGAAATATGCCAGTAGAATAATACCTCTAGTGAAACGACACCATCTATTATTAGTAACATTATTACTAGCTAATGCAGGATGTGTGGAAGCTATGCCTATATTTCTAGATAGAATATCAGATCCTATAATAGCTATCTGTGTCTCAGTTTCAGCTGTTTTGATATTTGGAGAGTAAGTTGTTAGCAAAATTTCATTCATAATATCCTTTATACTTAAAGCACACAACTGCTAGTTGATCCAGCAGATAATCTGGGAAAGATCAAATAATTTTGGCCATGGACAGTGATCTTCGTGAACTTGAAAATGGTTATTTCTTTCTTTTCTTTTAGGGTAATACCTCAAGCTATATGTACCAGATTTGGATTGGCTATAGGTGCAATGTTGTCACCGTAAGTATTTTTACTCTCCCAGTTACTTCCTTGAATCCTGTGACCAGAATACAGTTACATGTCTGAAATTGGCAGACCTAGAGTCCAGCTTCTCTTTTTCCTCTTTCCAGCTTTTAGGTAGCTGACAAATACATTTGGTCAGGGAAATAAGGGTGAAACTTGATTAGTGCCAAGGTTCTTCTCCTTTTGGAACTAATGGAATCAACTAGTAAAAGTTGGAACAGGGTTCAGTATGCACTACATGTGTGCCATAAAAAAAATATATGTAGAGAAAGTACAAAATGGAGGAGTAAGAAAGGGTTAATTTTGAATGTGACATATCCAGTTCCAGACCATTCAATTGATGCTGTGATTCCGAACTGACCAAATAGTTCAGAACTCACCAATCGAACACCATCAATGATTTCAGGGAGATTATAATCACATTGGGCAATATTATCGTAATTTTTATTTCAGATTAGTGTATTTCTTGATTGGTTTACTATTCATCATATCATGGCCTTTATCTAAACTTCTAGACTGTATCTTGGGCAAAGAACATGAAACTTTCTTTAGAAGAGGACAGTTAAAGGTGTTGGTAGATTTACATGGTGAAGTAACAGGAACACCTGACCAAGGTGCTGATCCATTGTCAATAGATGAAGTTTTGATAATTAAGGTAATTTTTCTAACGGGTTGATTTCTCTGATGCACCTTCTTAGAACAATGCACATCCCTTCTCATGAGTTTTTGCAAAAAACTAAATTTCTGAGAATTGTTTTTTTTTATTGATATAATGATTACATGACAATCTGATATTCTAATTGAGGATAGGCTGTAGCTCAGATAATTAGAGTGTTAGTATTTCAATGCCATGTCATATCATTCCAAATTGGCTTGACTGTAATTTTTTTGGTCATCTGGGAAAGATCAATGCCAACAAATTTGACAGAGAACCATCTGAAAGGATCTTCAGAAAACTGTGATGTCAAAGTAATAAACTATAATATTTGTTTTAAACATTTTGTCATCCTCTGTTATAATTAGTCTAAGAAGGTTCAGAAAGGACATAATTGATCTCTATTAATAGGGTGCCTTAGATATGAAGTATAAAACAGCCTATGATGCTATGTTACCAAAAGATAAGTTATTTATGTTGAATGTCGATGGTAAAATGGATGAAAACACCATGAATCAAGTATGTTATCATTTGTTAATTTAGAGTTCTTAATTGTTTATAATCTTGAACTTGATCTGCATCTTAATTATCACTATTGCAAGTGTTTCTCAGCTCAATTTGACCATGTGACTGGATTCATATCTTCCATCTCTTCTCAGTGAGTTCACATGTATATTGAAGTATATGGCATTTTTATCTTCTGATTAAATGATATAGCCTACAATTATTTTAGTTTAGTTAGTTTTTTTTTTTTCATTTTTAGGTTTTGGAAAAGGGTCACTCACGTATACCAGTCTATGATGGTACTACTAGCAATATTATAGGATTACTATTGACTAAAACATTGATTAAATTAGTACCAGAAGATAACATACCCATCAGAACTCTAGTTGATAGTTGTTTACATGCTAGAGATATATTATTTGTTAAACCTAATATACCATTATTTGACTTGTTGAACCTCTTTCAAACTGGTAAAGGTAAGGCAATATATTCTGTGATACATTAAATTATTTAGGAAGGTTAAGAATACATTTATTGGTCTTTGGAACATGAGCCATATGTTAGATATTATTATTGGAGTGGAACTGGAGTTTTAATATTTCTATAAAGTTAGTACATTGTCCATTCTGGCCTTACTTAAGAACTTGAAACTAACAATAATTTTGCCATCATATCAAGGTTGTTTATTGCATATTATTGTCCTACAATAATATTCACAGTGATGCTAGTTGCTTTACTAAAATATATTTGATTGGCTTTTTAGGTCATTTGGCAATAATCAAAGGTAAGAAACCTGTTGAACAAGCAGAAATACAAGAAAATGAAAGAAGTGTTGAAGAAGAATTATCTCCCTTGATTGAATCTGAAACACTGGTCAACACTTCATCAGACACTGAAGATCAGGTAAACAGTGTAATGATCTAGGACAATTCTCCCAGAGCTTAGATGAGGCATTTTAAGACATTATTTTCAACCCCAAAACCAAATCCCTTTGCCATTTGGGTAGAATTATATTATGTTTTTAGCCTTCTGTGTCACATATCAGAAACCAGTTTTTGGTTTGGAGTGAAATAATGATGGTCAATGATATGTTATTCTTTCCCATTTGATGTAGTTGTAATGATTATACAGAAAATGTTATCTTATGGGCCTTAACAAAAAATTTATCCTGGAAAAATATATAAATTACTGTGTACTATCCATGATATAGAATATTTTTAATCACTAACCCGAAAGTCCAGGGTTCAATACAAGCATGGGCCAAGATAACACCAAATGGCTCCCTAAGTGATTGAGGACAGAGGGGCTGACATGGATAAAAACTAGTCTATAGAATAATAAACAGAGTACAATAAGCCACACTGATGCCGCTGTCAAAATTTCGCTTTTTGTATACTGCATGGAGATACCCTTCATCAGAAAATTACAACACTAAATACTGTTTCAATTCATTTCAAATGTGATTGGATCTCAACTGTTGTTATCTTTTTCTAGGTATTAGGTATTATAACACTAGAAGATGTATTAGAAGAATTGTTACAAGAAGAAATTGAAGATGAGGTGGACCTATTGAAGGAAATGAAGATGAAATTACAACTAGCTAAAGCAATGAAATCACAAGTATCACGAGTTTCAACCACTGAGGATAATATACCTTTAGATAGATCTATAAATACTGATAGTGATACAGCTCTCTTAATACCTTGATAGATTTAGTGCCTATGCCGTTAAATGCTTTTTGAAGAACAATTACTTCAAGGGATTGTAAAGAGGATTAAACGTTTTATGTGTATTGAGGACACAGATGTTATTGTTTAAGCACCATGCCATTTTTCAGTTGGACAAATGGTTCTTGCAATTTCACAAACTAAGAGATGATTAACCACTTTCACAAATACCCTGATACACATAAAAAGTTTTCAAAAACCTCAATTTATCAATGCCTGAAACAGCTTATACATGCAAGAAGGGTACCAGTATACAAATATTTATATTTGATTGCATTTGTTTATTTATTATGTACTTTGTATAATCATTGAATGGACTTATGCACATTCAGGGATATTTCTATTAATGATAATCGAACTGTAGGATAATGGTAATGCATTTATTGACAATGTTAAGTCAACCATGAATGAATACTATGATACTATGTGTTCGCATTACCAAGGGGCAAATGCTGGTCGTTATTGATACTGTACCAAAGAATCATTTGCTGCATTAGCAAAGGAAAAGCTGTCTAAAATAGTTCAGTGTGCTAGTGTATTTATCTATATCACATATTTTTTCAATATATTTTGTGACACTTCACACTAGTTATTTTGCTATCTTTTTGTTATTATGCTATCTATATTTTGTTATTATGCTATCTATATTTTGTTATTTTGCTATCTATAAATGTTATTAATAAACTATATTTTTGTAATTAAAGAAAATCATGAAAAAGACTGAAGTTTTTTTTCATCACAAACTGTTTACACATGGCTATTTAAGGTTAATTCTTCGTTAACTGTATTAATGAGTGTTTCACTAATTGGATAGAATTAAGCTTAAAAATCATTTATTTAACATGATTTGATCACATCCTAATTATCAAGAGCAATAACTCATGTTCACATTTACTTGTTATCTTACATGTAGGATTAAAGCTACCATGTTTTATTACAAAATAGATCAAAGCTACCATGTTCTTTTAACATAAAGCTGCTATGTATACATTTACTATAAAAACTTTCATTGTTATGAAAATGCTCTTATATGGAAGATTAAAGCTACCATGATCTCTTAAAAGTGATACCACAGTAATTATGTTCCTAAAAAAGACTTTAAGGTGCCATTTTCTTCCTAAAGGATTAAAACAACCATGTTCCTGTTAAAAAATGTTAACCTACCATGTTCATATAAAAGTATCATTAAGGTCAATATTATATGAACTATATTTTTGTAAAGTACAACTAAACTAACACTACTATATTACCACCAATTATGCATAAACAAAACTTACTCTTCTAACCTTGCTACAGGCAGTCTACTTCGATATTGGTTAATAGTTCAGAATAACATTAGAATAATTATTATATCATGGACTTATAAAAGTACAATCTTAGCTAATATTTTCTTCAGGTCTGGATTCCAGTTAGGATTCATTTCAATGGCTTGTAAACCTTTTGGGAAGATGCCAGCAAGGTGCATCGACTAGATGTATTTCTATAAATGAAGCCATCATATTCAACACAAATATTTTCTTTAAGGTTTTATTAACTTAAAAGGATTTACAATATTGATGAAATACTAAATAATGGAAATATGTAATATGTCAAATACATGATGTCATAATAAATGAAAACATATATGATGTCTAATAAAATGAAAAATATATGATGTCCAAATCGATGAAAATAATATGTTATCCAAATACATAAAAAATAATGTCATAATACATGTGTATGAAAAATACATGATGTCCAAATTAATGTAAAAATGCAAATCTAACTAAATGATGGATGTCAAAAAAAAATTTCTTTAATAATACTGCATTCATTTTTATATTCTTACATAGATAAACCTTCATATAGTGATATACATGTATAACAATTACAGCCTTAAATGAAGATAGAAATTTAAATTGTTGCTTTTTTCAGTAAAATATAGAGCTCAATTTCTTTTTCATGTGAAAACATATTTTAATTTCACATAGTATCTACTAGGAAGAGCGCATTAAAATGAAATATCCTTAACAATTGCATATGAAAGAAAATATCCTCAGCAGTCCTCTATAGTCATTAAACATGATTGTAGATTAAAACTAAACAAAACCACACATACTACATATACCATAACATTTACTCCTATAACAGATACATAAACTTCACAGCTACAGACCAACTAAACAGGCCATTCTATTCATCCATTTTTCTTTTTGGTTTCTTGGGATTTCGTGATCTACTTTTAGCTTTACATAGTGGACAAATTGGTGCATTACGATGAATTTGTTGATGACAGGAAAGACAAGCCTGAAATATATTGGACAAAAAGTGGTTAATCCTTGCACACTAGTAGAATTATACTTCAAGAATTATGCAGTAAGCAGTCTAAGAGTCAATATATTTTGAGGTAATTGATAATACTCTCAAAATGAATACAATGCCAATATTGGTATACATTAATGGGTTATAGACAACTTGGCACCTAACCATAATGACCCCAACATTTGGTCAAAATGGTCCTAAAAAAGGGTCAATAAGAACTCCTTAATATATGAAAAAAAATGGTACTATGAAAAAGTCAAAATGGCCCCATGATTTTATTATTAACAATTTTAACAAAATGATGACTTGTTTGAAAAACAAAGCACTAAAAGCATTAAATCATTCATTTATTCACTAATAACACAAGCACAAAATGGTGTTATTCATTTGGGAGATAATCATTCCATATATTATTAATCTGGACCAATTTCAATCTCAATTTAATGAAATATTTCACAGAAAAAAAATAAAATGGATTTCATTTCAGATTTAAAAATCTTACCTTCATTGGTGGTGGTTGTTGTCGGAATGTTTGACGTTCTGTTTTAGGATTACTAGTGGTAGGATTTCTAGGTACTTGTATATTCTGGGCTGCAGCAGCAGCTACCTGTAAGGTTTGAGGTAATGGTGGTTCTGGAGTCTCCTGATGCCATTCAGTATTCTGTTTCTCAAAAAAACTGAAAAACAAAACATGACGAAATTTATATGATAATCAGACAAGATCCACACATTTGTTAGCATCTATTCACAGTCAATAATCACACAATTCATTACTATGAAAAACAATAATGAAGCTTTTAATTTCTAGAACATATTAGGCCCTACTGTGAAAAATCATCAACATAAAAATGTACTATTGGTGAAAAAAGACCCAATATTTATCAATCTCTGGTATGTTTTGGGCCAACTTTCAGCCTATGACAAAAAAAGATTTGAAGAATACAAATGCTTGTATATGAGCGAAATATCTATTTAACTAATGAAAAACACAACCACTTTTAACCAATTTTGGCCTAAAGTTCACTTGATAGAGGTGTCAGGCCAACAATTTGTGGTTAAAAGGAGTTATGTTCTCTTTGAAATAGTCTGTGAAATAAATGTTCCAGCATGACATACTCAGAATTCAACTTTTGTTCTTCCTCTTGTAATTCTGGTAGTTTCTCTAAACCTATTCTAGATCTCATTATATCAACTTCATCTTTTAATGGTTTATATTCTTCATATAACTTCTTTGCATTTTCTAGAGCTCTATTTCTCTCTTCTTCTGCTTGCTTTATAGTGGCCTCCATCTGATAACATAAAATTCAATTTTTAAAGCAATTCTAATTAAAAGGCCTACTTGAGAAAGAACAGTAGCCAAAAACTGGGAGTTAGGTCCTCATAATATTTTTACAATCCTGTCAATTTTCCAACATTAATGTTTTTAAGTTGATTGTGCAGTCGGATTTATCAACTAGTTATTTCTCAAAAAGAAAGATACTCGAAAAAGGCAATAAATAAGATTTTACCAAATTAATATCAGCATGGATAAGCCTAAGTTCTTCCACATGAGCCATCTTTTCTTGCAAAAGCAGCTCCATCTCTTGTTTATATTCATGTAAATATTTATCTTCAGTTTCTGTGATGTCAACATCTTGCTTCATTTTAACTTTAACTTTCTCCAACTGTAAAACTCTTGTCCTGAATTTAGAGAAATTATTAAAAACACAAATATTTCTTTAAATCTCAACGTCGGTCGGCTGGAACTTACAATGCCAAAATTAAAAACAAAACATGAATATTATTATAATGCATTATTAAAGGCAGGTATTGAGTATTATTGTGTACAGGATCCTGAAGATACTCAAGATCTGATGTACTGGTATCGTGTTCTGAATAGATTAGACAGCTAGGGACACATTTCTCAAGGAAAACACACTCTAAAACACGGTATATACCTTAATTCTTTTAAATTTTCTAATTTATTCATTACTTCAATTTGTTTATCGTCGGCCATGTTGAAAAATTTTATTACCTTCAATAAAGAAGAGCCTTTAACACTTTGGTTACCCAGTCCTTTTTCATTATTACTTTTTCCTAATGTTAAGGTGTTGGTTACTGGACAATCAAGAATATCTGTCGTCACAACGCGCCAAGTTCACCAACATGGCTGTACAACCAAAACAAGAATTGCAATTAGGTATAAAAATTGCACGATTATATTGTCACTGTCGTCGCATGCCATGACGATTCGTTTGATGATTTATTTGAATTAAACGCGTGTACAATTCATCTTCATCAAATGCACCTTGTTTTTCATCTAAAATCGAGATAAATGAATGATCATTCTGAAAACATTTTCCTTTCATATTTCACAGAACTTCAACTTTAAGTTAAAAATTCTAAAATCTTTCCTTTATCTCTCATTTCTTGATTATGTTCAGTTCACCCCCATAATTAACAGTGGCTCACTCCCTTGTAGGCCTATTATAAATCGAAAAAGAGTGGGTTAATTCTGCTGCCCTTGTAAAATGTACCTTTATGCACATCGCTTAACATTCCCTGTCTTCATTTGACCAATTAGACGCAGAAGAGTACAGCTCCTTTCATTTGATTTCCCAGTATTCAGGGGCTTTCACGTTGTCTGAAATATGAATTGTTCCTAACCAAGGGTATAAGTAGGCCTATATGTATGAAACACCTAAAAGGCATTGAAACTTCACATTTTGCACTATTAGTTAATATTAGTTTTATTACACCAGTATTCAGATATCAAGGGATATACCATAAGAAAGTTAAGTTACAAACAAAGTTTGTTCTTATCTGAATTTGTAACTTTATTCTGTTTAGAATTGGTACCACATTGAATTACCTTTGATTTGATAAATGTCCTAAAAGAGCCATACTAATGTTAAGTGTTCAGGAGGTACAGTTTAAGATCTGTTAAGCTGATAAATAAGGTTGTTATGTGACTACTTTGTTTTATTTTTTCAGATTTTTCTCAAGAGCAAGGTTTCTTGGCATTTCACAGAGATTTACCAGAGGTATGAAACAAACTTGACAAATATCAGTAATATGTTTACAAGGATATCTTTTTATATTATCATTCAGGGGCATTCTAGATTTTAGAAGTATCTATCCATAATTTTTATTATTTTGTTTATTGTGGTACATACGTCATTAGTAAGTTGACAAGTTGTTATATTATGTAAACACAATGTTTTTGATTGTAGAAACCAAGCACAACCTTACGAGTTTTTGATAGAACTGTAAGTATTCTTTACTCTACATAATATTAAATTAGTTCTAAAATCATTTTAAATGATTATCATATCATTAAAACAGAACACTAAAATCATCTTAAGTAAAGTTTTTTAAACTAAGGCCTCAGTTTAAGTTCATGCGATGTTATACCTTGATAAAATTTTTAATTGAATATATATTAAAATTAAATCTGTTCTTTACTATTACCGGTACCAGCAAATTAGTTTAATGAATATTGATAATGTAAATTACAGGATTATTATACAGTACATGGACAAGATGCTATATTTGTGGCCAAAGAAGTTTTTAAAACAACTGGTGTGGTTAAATATTTGGGTGGTGGTAAGTAAAGTTTTCCTTAAAAATTCCTAGTAAGTATATAAGTAAGACACAATGCAAGTAATATAAGTAAGACACAATGCAAATGATATAAGTAAGACACAATGCAAGTAATAAAAGTAAGACACAATGCAAGTAATAAAAGTAAGACACAATGCAAGTAATAAAAGTAAGACACAATGCAAGTAATAAAAGTAAGACACAATGCAAGTAATATAAGTAAGACACAATGCAAGTAATATAAGTAAGAGACAGTGCAAAAAATGTACCTTTTTGTGATAAAGTAGTAATTTTTGACATTTACCATCTGAAGCTTATATTCTAGAGGTACCATAGGCATTTTGTCTTGGAATTTGAGAAAATCTAAATCATAATGTATTTAAGTTGACTATTTTTTAATCTTTAAATCAAATGTAATCTAGAGCTGCACAAGGATTAAAAAACACATAAAAAAAAATTGATAAAACTTTTTTTTTTTGAAAATTTTCCCTGATTTCATTAATTAGGTGTCTTATATCTGTAAGTAAAAGATAATTTTAATACATTATTTAGTGTTCATTATCTAAGACTAATCATTTATATTTACAGGAACTAAGAAGTTGGAGTCTGTTGTTCTCAGTAAGATGAATTTTGAATCATTAATGAGAGATTTGTTATTAGTACAACAGTATAGAGTGGAGGTCTATAGAAATAAAGGTTCTAGTAAAAACAATGATTGGATACTAGCATTGAAGGTTTGTATTGGGTGTTTTATCAAAGATACATTTCTATAGAAGCATTGGTTGAGGTTACAAGAAGAGAACTTGTGCTACATTGATCTCTATGGATTAAAGTTGATATGACTATAAATATACCACCATATTGTGATATTTCATATTGTATGGGTATTTGCTGGTTTTTGCTTGTTTCCCCAAATATAGTTTGTTGGCACAAAAGGTCTAAAGGTTCTATGTATATATTGTAGGCATCACCTGGTAACCTCAGTCAATTTGAAGATATATTATTTACTAATAATGAGATGGCTGGATCAATCGGTGTTATTGGTATTAAGGTTTCTACTGATAATGGACAAAAAGTAAGAATATAGTCTATTAAGGAGGTGTCTGTCTAGATGGCATTGCAGTATCAGTCATTAGTAATTGTTTGGTTTGCTTAAATAGAACTGAATTAGAACAAGAAACTTTGAGATATTTGTCACTGTTGTCAGCTATTTTACACAACTTTCTGTTAGAAAGTGCTCCTGTCATAGGCATAGGCAAATGACAACATCCTTCTGAGTCTGTGATATTGGTCTGCCTTCTCTAGTTTCTTCTTTTTTTTTCTAGATTGTAGGTATTGGCTATGCAGATGCTACTGTAAGAAAATTTAGTGTGTGTGAATTTACTGACAATGATCAGTTCTCAAACTTAGAGGTGGGTGTAATTTTAACATTTTTTCTTGATTTCCCATGTTTATTACTCTTAATCAACCATGACTCATATTCTGTTTCTAACAAGACTTTCACTTCTACCACTGAGGTTTCATTCAAGTTTCCAGCAGCAAGAGATCTTCAAAAAGTCAGTGACAATGGGTAACAATTCTTCATTCTTCTGTAAAAGGATTCATTTGTAACACTGTTGGGAAATGAAGTCTCAAGATATTATGGCAACCAAAGAAATAAAGAGAAAAGCAATATTATGTTGTACATCGTTATTTTATATTTGTAATTATGATATCAACCAATTACGGACTTATTTTTTCTAACTATGATTATTTGTAGGCATTATTAGTACAACTAGGTCCTAAAGAATGTGTTATTGGCACTGGTGAACTCAATACAGAATCTGGTAAATTTAAACAAGTACTAGATAGAAGTAATATACTAATTACTGAAAGAAAAAAAAGTAAGTCCATACCTAATCATAAGGCATTTCTTCTTCTATTGACAGTAATGGACAAAACTAAAATTCACTTCACAATATAAAAAAAAGATTTTTTGGCCAGACAGGGTTTAGTTATAATTTTAATGAAGGTAGAAATCATTCTTCCTATGATATGTCCTGTTTTTAATTTATTTTATTTTGTTTAGGTGAATTTAATTGTAAAGATGTAATACAAGATATGAATAGATTATTGAAGAAGAAAAAAGGAGAACAATCAAATAGTGCTACCTTATGTAAGTATACTATTAACTCCAAAGATCAATTTGAATACTTTGGACTGAATAAAGGCAAATTTACACTGTATAGACAATACAATCATAGTTCTCCAGTCAGAATGCATTATCAAATGATCAAATCAGATTTTTTTTTTCAGCTGAAATGGACCGAGTTCATGCAGTTTCAGCATTATCTGCTGTTATTAAATATTTGGAGGTTAGTAAGTTAAAATGGCAATAATTGAACATTTGTAAAACTATCTGTGAATCATTTGAATTAAAAGGTTTAAATTTCTCAATGTCAAATTGCCAAATAATAAATTAGCGTGCTTTATATGTTTGTTGCTTTCCAGCTGCTATCAGATGAGAGTAATTTTGGACAATATCAGTTAACGACCTTTGACCTTAAACAATATATGAGGTTAGATTCAGCTGCTGTGAGAGCATTGAATATATTACCTAATCCTAATGAAGGTAGGTTTAAATTTCACATTCATTTTGATATGCCCACATGTAATGAGGATATCTTGGGACAAATCTGAATTTGGGTATGTTTCAAGAAATATTAAGTCTCAAGTCTGAATATATTTTGAAAGTTGCTTGTGAATGCGATAGGGATCACAGTTCAGGATTTTATCAAATTTTGTGCTTTATATTCACAGTATATTGAATCAATTCAAAGCTGAGCATCATCTGACAAATCTTCACTGAGTTACATCCCTTGATACATACTGCAATTTTATTGGATAAGTGGCCATATTTTGCATTGCATCAGGTTGTTTTTTTGTCTGCTTCAATCATTATAAATCTCAACAACAAAAAATTCATTGATAATTGAAAAGTAGCACAAGAAAAAATGAAATGAAAATTTGTTTTTGATATATTGATAGTGAAGAATATGTTGAATATGGTTGATGTTCTATTTTTAGGTGGTAATAAGAATCAAAGTGTTTTAGGTTTATTGAATAAATGTCGTACAGCTCAAGGTCAAAGATTAATAGCTCAATGGGTAAAACAACCTTTAATGGATAAAAATAAAATAGGTAAGTAAGGATGGAGTAGGAAGTCTAATTAGAAGTCTTAGAAGTTTTCTATCACAGACGCGAATTCAAATCAATCAAAGCATGTCATGTAGGACCCCTTTCTTGAATAGAGTGATGAATGGTGGAACAATGGAACTTAAAAAGGCTGACGTGTTCTTCTAGTTTGGGTAACCATTCCTACATGACACCCATTGATTAGTTAAAATAGCGTCATCAGAATGTGACTGTTCAAACAGCATCTATTGTCTATGAATGTCATAAAATGCTGATTTAGAAACAAAGTTTTTCAAAATCTATTTGTGACATGTTTCTGATATATGAAATAAAAAAGTGATTATTATAAAAAATATTTTGTATTACAGAGGAAAGATTAAATGTAGTAGAAGCTATGTTAGAAAATACGGAATTGAGACAAACATTACAAGAAGAACAATTACGAAGAATTCCTGATTTTCAAAAACTTGCAAAAAAATTTCAACGGAAGAAGGCAACCTTGCAGGTATCACTTCTTAGAATTAAACTCTCACTTCCAGTTCACAACAATCAGATGAATTAAAGTTAATTGTTTTATTAAATCGTGCCATGCCATGTAAGTCTGTTAAAACTTATTTTAATATGTTTCTATTTTCTTCCCTAACAGGATTGTTATAGAGTGTACCAAGCTATAGATAAAATGCCATATTTATTAGAAATATTAGAGAAACATGATGGAAACCATAGAACATTATTAATGGAGTTGTTCTCTAATCCACTGAAGGTGAGAGGATTTTTCAGAGGATTGACCTTTTGAATGAATATCACAGGGTCATTCACACACAAGCATATCAGCTATCTATTGAATAGTATGTCTCTTTTATAAGAATCTTAATAACGCTTTACATTAAGTGGATTGTTCTATATTTTTGTACTTATTAAATAATATATGTGTTAGTTCACATTGATATATATGAACAAATCTTCTTTTACTTTGTATTAAAGGAATTACTGATGGACTTTGCTAAGTTTCAAGAAATGGTAGAAACAACAATGGATTTAAATCAAGTTGAAAATCATGAATATGTCATTAAGTCTGACTTTGATGAAAATTTGGCTGGTAGGATTTATTTTAGTTTTTCATACAGCCAGTAATAAAATACATGTTATTATTTCTTGTGATGATCCTTTAAAACAAATGGATGATTTTAAACAAGGTGAAAAGTACCGAAATAAAGCTTAGGCTTTGACCTGAACACAAAGGGATTTAAGTTGTCTTATTCTTGTATCTATATAGTCACGTATGTCTGCAATATATTTTTGTCTGATTTTTTTTTCATATAGCTTTAAGAGAAAAAATAGATGCCCTAGAATCTGATATTAAATCACAAATAAACAAAGTAGGTATTAAAATTCTATTAAAATCATACATTGTTTTATTTGAAATTCTCACAATAAAATACTGCATTCATATTTGTTTCTGGTACTGCTACCGGTTTATTAGAACATTACAAATTAGAGTTTACTTTTTCTCAAAAGAACTGTGATAGAATGTGCTTTTGTTTTTATAGATTGTTCAAATTTTATATTCTAGAGGGCACATTGAAAAAGACATGAAGCCTTATAGAAAGGAATTTTTCATATGAAATTTTGTATTAATGTTTTTTTTTTCAATTTGATAGGTAGCAAGAGATCTGAACCTTGAAGCTAATAAAACATTAAAGTTAGAAAGTAACAATCAATTAGGTTACTTTTTCAGAGTAACTAGAAAAGTAAGTAACTTCTTGTAACTAATATTCTAGGTTGTCCAAGTTGAATTACTTATATTTCTTAATAGATTGATTAAAAACTGAATTTTCTATGAAATTAATTCTTGGATTTCAAGTTTGCTAATCAAAGGTCTTCAAAGAAAGTAAATAATAAGTAGGCAATCTATTCCACCTTCTGTTGAAGATGCTTCTTTAAGCATTCAATTTATAAAAATGTAAAAAAGGAATTCAATTTATAAAAATGTAAAAAAAGGAATTCAATTTATAAAAAATGTAAAAAAAGGAATTCAATTTATAAAAATGTAAAAAAAGGAATTCAATTTATAAAAATGTAAAAAAAGGAATTCAATTTATAAAAATGTAAAAAAGGAATTCAATTTATAAAAATGTAAAAAAAGGAATTCAATTTATAAAAATGTAAAAAAGGAATTCAATTTATAAAAATGTAAAAAAGGAATTCAATTTATAAAAATGTAAAAAATGTAAACTTTGAATTTGTATATTAATTGCCCTCTACAATAATTGTATTGTTTTATTCAGGATGAAAAAGCACTGCGTAATAATAAGAACTATAGAACTATTGATACTAATAAAAATGGTGTCAGATTTCGGAATTCAGCTGTCAGTAAATATAATGAAGATTATCTAAAATATAAAGAAGAATATAATGAACAACAGAAGAGTGTAGTTAGTGAGATTATTGAAATAGCAGGTAAATTTATTTAAAAGTCAACGAGACAAACAGATGCCAGATGGGCAGTTTACATGGTGCAAATATAAACATACTGAAACATGATTTTTGATATTTTAGCTGGTTTTATGGCAATATTTATACAATTTTGCTGCTATCTGGTTATGTTATGACATTAATTTTAAAATTGGCTGGTTATGTTCTAATTTATATCACATTTTATTATTTACAATTAAACTTAGCTGGTTATGATTTTATAATATTTAAGATGTTTTGCTTATGTTACTATGAATATTGTATTTAAGCTGGTGATGTTTTTTGACTATATTTTAGCTGGTTACGTTATAATTATTATTGTTTTTTTAGCTGGTTATGTTATAATTATTATTGTTTTTTAGCTGGTTCTAATTATTATTGTTTTTTAGCTGGTTATGTTATGATTATTATTGTTTTTTAGCTGGTTCTAATTATTATCGTTTTTTAGCTGGTTATGTTATAATTATTATTGTTTTTTAGCTAGTTATGTTATAATTATTATTGTTTTTTAGCTGGTTATGTTATAATTATTATTGTTTTTTAGCTGGTTATGTTATAAGTATTGTTGTTTTTTAGCTGGTTCTGTTATAATTATTATTGTTTTTTAGCTGGTTCTGTTATAATTATTATTGTTTTTTAGCTGGTTCTAATTATTATTGTTTTTTAGCTGGTTATGTTATAATTATTATTGTTTTTTAGCTGGTTCTAATTATTATTGTTTTTTAGCTGGTTATGTTATGATTATTATTGTTTTTTAGCTGGTTCTAATTATTATCGTTTTTTAGCTGGTTATGTTATAATTATTATTGTTTTTTAGCTAGTTATGTTATAATTATTATTGTTTTTTAGCTGGTTATGTTATAATTATTATTGTTTTTTAGCTGGTTATGTTATAAGTATTGTTGTTTTTTAGCTGGTTCTGTTATGATTATTATTGTTTTTTAGCTGGTTCTGTTATAATTATTATTGTTTTTTTTAGCTGGTTATGTTATTATTATTATTGTTTTTTTAGCTGGTTATGTTATAATTATTATTGTTTTTTAGCTGGTTATGTTATAATTATTATTGTTTTTTTAGCTGGTTATGTTGAACCTATGTTAATAATCAATGATGTTGTGGCACAGTTAGATGTATTAGCTAGCTTTTCTCATGTATCATCCAGTGCACCAATTCAGTACA